GACAGATTAACAATGGAATCATAGCGTCAGAGAAAACTACCTGTATGTCTACGATGTCCTAGACAGCATATAGGGACAACTCCCCTGCGAGTGACAGGCTCAAAAAATCAGTTTGGTAGCTGTCTTGTGTATCTCATATATATGTTATGTTGTGGAGTTTCATGTCGTTAAATGTGCGAAGGGGACGGGAGAACATTTTCTCATCATTGCCTCCTGATGACGGGGTCGCCGATAGAGGCGTGTGGTTGATGAGGTTTCATCACCGACATGTGGGCGTGTATTAAATGCAGTGGATATGTTCACCTCTCTCGTCCGTGTGTAGGCAGGAGGTATGGCTACCTCTCCCATTAGTGGGCAGCGCGGACCATAAGTAAGACAGAGTTTATCATTTCATACATGCTTACATCATTTGTGTTTGACAAGGGGGAAATGAGAGGTTGTGCGTATGGGTACGGGGATACTCCCTGTGTCCATGTTGTTCCCAGATGTTGTCGCATCAAGTGGCAGCATGTGTCATGGACAGGTTGACGTGGAAGGACGGCGACAGGTGAACGACAGCAGTAGTATTTTGTGCATGGTGGCATGTTGGGCTTGTACAGAGACGCAGTCCATCTTGGACCACACACAAAGGTGTTTGTTCGTACCTGTCGGAGTTGTGGAAGACCCAAGTCAGTCGCAAGCAGCAGTAGGAAGGAGCGAACAAGCGCAGTGCTTCTCTACAGCTTTATAATCCGTCCTCCTCAAATCCTAACGGAGATGGTTACGTATCACACAACGGCTGGAGGACAATAGAGGCGCTCCAAAATTGTGCTTTCGCGAAGAGACCCGCCAAGGGGCACTTCGTTCACACGTCTGCTGAGCAACGAGGCAACGCGCAATCTAGCCACAACAGCAAGGCTACCTCTGCGTCTTCCTCCTGCCGAACGGGAAAAGTGTGAACCGCCTGGTCCGCGCCTTGGTAGGTGTGGTGCGCGTAAGAGGAGCGTTCCGTGGTTTCGTGTGTGAGAGTCGCCGGCGGTGTGAGAGGAGCGGCGACAACACTCGCAAGGGGTGCCCTCCCTGACAAGGGTCGAACACACAAGCGCTTGGGGCTGGGTTACCTCGCGAAGAGGGGCGTGGACCCTGGGGCCGGCGCGTTCGCGGTGCTGCTGTCGCTTTGATTCGACATGGCCTCCACAGGGGAATCAAGCGAATCTGAAGCCGGCACTCTCCCGCCGGCAGTCGTACCTCGCCTCGTACCCCGAGGCCCAAACCGCTTGACGAGGCGTTCGACTACAGCAGCGGGAGGCGAGGCCGTGGCGCGGCGAGGTCGCTTTCAGGGACTGCCGCAGATCCGCTGGATCTGGATAGCTCGCTGGATTCGCCACACGCGAGTGGCGTGGGCCACGACAGCGCCCGCCAACACGAAGATTCCACGGGCGGGGCGGGAGAGGAGGAGGAAAAGGAAGATGGGGAGGAGGAGGAAGAGGGAGAGGAGGAGGAAGAAGGGGAGGAGGAGGAACAGGGAGAGCAGCAGCACCAGGAGAAGGACGACGAGTACGAGGATGACGACACCAGCTCTGGTGAGTGTGGAAAATTGTTCCTCATGGGCNGCGCCCGCCAACACGAAGATTCCACGGGCGGGGCGGGAGAGGAGGAGGAAAAGGAAGATGGGGAGGAGGAGGAAGAGGGAGAGGAGGAGGAAGAAGGGGAGGAGGAGGAACAGGGAGAGCAGCAGCACCAGGAGAAGGACGACGAGTACGAGGATGACGACACCAGCTCTGGTGAGTGTGGAAAATTGTTCCTCATGGGCGTATACATCTACACATACATATAGGCTAAGGTTTAACATGTGTTACGTGAGAATTTCAAAATGGTTTCTCGGTGTATATTTTTTTCTAACAACCTACAGCAGTTCGGCACCGCGGCGGAGCCTACCTGCGGGATCCCGTGTACTTTTTATCTACAATGGGCGATAGCACGATCACGGCAGTAGTTTGAAGCTATGTAGGTCGAGGTATAGTTGAGGACCTCCCACAGCCTGAGCTCAGCAAACATCATTAAACCTGCCACGCCGAGTATTGAGAGTATTTTCAAGTGAATACGACAGTCGAGATATTTTGGGGAAACCAAGGCGCAACTATGTACGTACCACGTCGTAATACGTAAAGGTCATGTAGTACTGCTGTTTGGCTGGCCTTCACGTGTATGCAAGCGCTTCACTTAGCGTGTAGAGAATAGCCAAGCCTTTATTTCAGCGCGCACGAACCAGTCGCAGAATCGATTCACTACGACAATCGTCGTTTCGTGGGTTGCACAGGTGATGGAAGCGACAGGTTGTTCGTGCGCGAGGGGGAGAGGCAACTCGTTTGGATGGTGTTGACGGAAGTCAACCCGTGGCGCTAAAGGCAACGTGCCCAATTACGGAAAGCGTGGGGAAGGTGTGCCGACAAGGTCGTGAAGAAAAACAAGCTCAAGATCTCCACGCACCGGGGAGAGGAGACGGTCAGGGTCGATGTCGCCCGCCGGCAGGTGAGGTGGTGGGCAAGGCGGGGGTGTCGCGGGGGCAGGTTCGATGGGCGACCTAGTGGTCAGGGGTGGCTCTTGTGACGAAGGATTGCATTCCCGGAGACACAATAATACGAAAACCAGGAGCGTCTGAGTGTCGCGTACACTTGGCTTGTTCATGTGTGTTGTTGGTAGCGCTCGAGGAATGCTTGCTGGGATTAGGAGCCCCCCACGGAGGTCACGATTCAAACGCTGATCTCCGGACGTAAGCATACCCTGAAACAAGCAGCATAAAATTGGGATGAGTTGGGGTCTGCCATTCAAGCCCTTGATTGCTGCGAGCGGTATTGAACTGGTTGCGAGAGGTCAAAATAAAAGTCGGCGGAAAAAAAACGAGCGTACACCGACAAAAAAAACAAAGGTGGATCGTTTTTCGCCCTCTCCTTGTGTTCATTTGAGACACCCTCCCCGACCCTCCTTCCTTCCCTCTTTTGTTTTCATTTCCTGTCTTCGCGATGTATGTTGCATCCCGCGAAAGTCTCCTCACCAATGACATAGGGTATCTTGTGTCCAACAAAAGGCATCGTTTCACAATTTCGGCGTTGTCCCGTGGACAGGCTTTGGGAAGGGAACTCGTGGTGGACAAGGTGAAGAGACTGTGGTTACGTCACCACTCGAGTTCTTGGAGAAGGAGAGGAAAGCTCTCGCGAAGACAGGAGAGGGAACCCGGACGGCCGAGCATTGGGCGGAGAAGTCGGAGACTACGGAGGTACGTCCTTTAGGACCGTCACGGAGGCATAGTACGTTCTGGGTACAAGGACATAGACGTGTATCTGGGGGCGAGAAGGAGTTGTATTTTTTCTTCTTAGTGGAGGGTATCCTGGGGGAGAAAGCAGTACGGGGGGGAACGTCGTTGCCAAGCGACGAAAACCCAACCCCGATGGCAAACACCGAGGGGGGTACGGGCGGCAGAAAAAAAAAAGAAACATTGGCTCGCATGCATATGCACCGCAGAGAAACACGCGCACATTCATCACAGAGAAAGCTTTGTTTATAGACCGTTCGATGTAGTGTTGAGCTACATAGGTAATGAAAACAGTTCTGCCCCACTTTTCCGCCCGAGTTCGGTCTGGTTTCGTAACGTTCCCTGTACGGTGACGGTAATTTCGGACTAGGCCGACCATATCATCGTTGCTGTGCGTGCGCTTGTAGTCGCAGATGATAGCTCTGGAGTCCGCTGTCCGTCTGTAAGAATCGTGCAAAGATTTGGTAAACGGAGGGAAGGGGGTGAGCGCGGAGCACCAACATTGGGCCGAACGAACGCGGAAGAAGTCGGCAACGGGGACTGCTGCTGACGTGCGCGGTGCTAGGGAAGGGTTAGGTAAGCGGAAGCGGAAGTCGCGGGGGGAACCCCTCCATGCCGGCTTAGCTTCGTTGGGCTCGGACGGCGTCTTGGGAGGGAGTGGGGGCGGAGAAGAAGAGGCAGACTCGGACGATGACGACGACGTCGTCATCGAGGGCGAGGACAACGGGCGCTGCTCAGCAAAGGAGCAAACGCGCAGGGACACCGTAGGGAAGGCCGTGGCGTCCGGCAACCTCGGGAGGCAGGTGAGGTCAGCGCGTCGCTCGCCTAGGTCGTATGAGTCGGAGGATGCCGGGGGGCAGGAGTTGGTGAAGACCCTCGCGGGTTACATGGTGAGGAAGATGGCAAGGGAGGAGGAGAAGGAAAGAGCACAAAGTGCGAGTGGATCGGAAGCGGCGACGGTACCGCCGCCTCCGCCGCCGCCGCCGCAGCAGCAGCAGCAGCAACAGCAGCAGCAACAGCAGCAGCAGCAGCAGCCATCAATACCCCAGCAGGAGCAGGAGGTATCATCCAGCATGCACCAGCGAATCGCCACCGTCGAAGCCGGGGTTGGGGCCTTGGGTCAGAGGTTTCGAGGTATCGAGCAATGGCCGGACCAAATGTAGGGCGTGTTCGAGAGGTTTGCCGGAGGGACGGCGGCGGCTGCACCAACCTTTGCCCCTTTGTTCCCCGCCACTCCTGCTCCTGCGTTCCCCTCCCCCATGGGGACGGGAAAGTATTCCAACGGTAGGGGATCTACGCCTACGGCACCGACCCCAGCTGCCGCCGCGGCGGTAGTTTCGGGCACTTCTTCTCGTCCCGCCGCGGTCGGGGTTGACGGCCCGGGCGAAGGACTTGGACCTGCGGCCCGGACGAATGCGCGCCTCGAGGTTGGAGGAGTGACGGGACAGGCACCAGCTGGACGGCGAATCCGCAGTGACGACGTCCGCCTCTCGGGTTTATCGGGTCACGGGGCGTCGTCATTCTCCGCTGCACCCCTGGGAGCTCGTCCGTCTGGCGGGTTAGCTTCGAGGCNGCCTCGAGGTTGGAGGAGTGACGGGACAGGCACCAGCTGGACGGCGAATCCGCAGTGACGACGTCCGCCTCTCGGGTTTATCGGGTCACGGGGCGTCGTCATTCTCCGCTGCACCCCTGGGAGCTCGTCCGTCTGGCGGGTTAGCTTCGAGGCCCCCGTGGAAGTCTTGACCAAGATGCTGTCGCGACCGTGGTAGTGGAATGCGGGTCGGGTCTGCGCCATNGCCGCGGTCGGGGTTGACGGCCCGGGCGAAGGACTTGGACCTGCGGCCCGGACGAATGCGCGCCTCGAGGTTGGAGGAGTGACGGGACAGGCACCAGCTGGACGGCGAATCCGCAGTGACGACGTCCGCCTCTCGGGTTTATCGGGTCACGGGGCGTCGTCATTCTCCGCTGCACCCCTGGGAGCTCGTCCGTCTGGCGGGTTAGCTTCGAGGCCCCCGTGGAAGTCTTGACCAAGATGCTGTCGCGACCGTGGTAGTGGAATGCGGGTCGGGTCTGCGCCATTATGCCTTCGCCGTCAGGGGCGCAGCTCCCGCGCTTCCATGGTTTGTTGCGTACGGCGGCGGGATTGATTGCGGATTGTCGCGTCCAAGTGTGTGTGTGTTTTTTTCTTTCTTCGTGTCGTCGTGTGCCGTTATTTTCTTCTCCATGCCTCAAGTAATCGTTGTCGGCGAGAAGGGGTCGCATGGACTGACCATTTTTTTCTTTTTTTTTCTTCAGCGACCACCCTCCAATGTACCTGCTATCGACACCACCTGTCGCGGGCGCCGGATGCGCTTCTGTTTTTCGCGTGTATTTTTTGTAGCTCGCTGGAAAATGTCGTATTCGGGCGAGTTTTTTTTTTGGTTTTCTTCGGTGTGACCGTTGCTTTTTTTCTTGTCCAGGTCGGTGAAAAGTGTTGGACTCCGGCGACAATTCAATTTTATTATATATTTTCCAATTATTGTTGTGCCCTACTCCCGGGAAACCTTTCGTTTATTTTCTTTTCATTTCATTCGATGCATGATGGGACGAGGCAGAGGGTTTCTACTATCCTATGCACGTCATTTTTCCCATCCCTTGCGTGTTTGTTCTCTATTGCCTTCTGATGTGTTCATCTGGCTACAATGGTGGTGTCACTTCGACCAACAAAAAGTTATTTGCACATCATCGCCAGTGGGGGGTGAGTCCGGGCGTTTTGTATTTTTGCTGCACAAAGAAGGGCTGTTACGATTCACGTATCGTTTGGCGTGTTAGGCAAACCTTGGGTTGGATACGCGTTGTCTTCCTGTGGCAGAACAGCCGTTTGAATCATTCGTGATAAAGACGGCGTGATGGCGTCGGATTTCTGAGGGATTTTGATTCGGTGGCCGGGTTTCCCGTGTTTTTTTTTGTTTCTTGTGTTGTGGCTGTGTTTCGGTCGTTGGCGGACGTATGTCTTTGCGCGAGTGGTGAGTCAGTGGCATATACAATCAAGGGATTTCCACAGTCCAAAGTTGCTGTTGCGTGAGATGGGAGATACATGGAGGATATGTGGTGGGAGACTTTCGGTGATTGTGCAAAGTCCTCGTTTCCTTTCGGATCTTTGGGGCCATCCCTTTCTTCTCTCTCTCTCTCCATCTGCGAGGAAACACACATTTTAACAGTAAGCCGAGTCAGTCGGCTCTACATCACCCCTTTACAAGGGCTAGAAATTTGGGAAAAACCACCTCCCTCAACGCACGCCCCCCCCCGGTGTTTGCCATCGGGGTTGGGTTTTCGTCGCTTGGCAACGACGTTGTAAAACAAGCCAATTCACTTCGTGAACTCGGCAACCAGGTTACCGTTTTTTTTTTTTTCCTCCGTTTTTTTTTTTGGCGGTAACCATAATGGTGGTCGAGTAGATCATGTTGTGCGGGGTGGAGAACCCTCACTCCGCGCAAGGGGGATGATCGCACCACGTTGTGTTGAAATGGCCAAGCACCCTCGAGGCAGTTACACGGTGCTTACAACTGTCTCTCGAAGTGAAAGCACGAGAAAGTAAATAAAGTCATACGCAGCTGTCATCCGTACGCAAGGAAGTAAGCACAAGATGCCGAATGCCCTTCGCAGGATGCAGCGCACCCTTCATGCGTCTCGCCGAATATCTCACGGCGCTTCGCGCTTGGTGATGTGAGAGCCTGGTCCGGTGAGAACCCGGCGTNAAAAGGTGCGCGAGAACTACCCCCCTCCCCCCCCCCCCCCCCCCCCCCTCAACGCACTTGTGCGAGGGTGTGCTATGTGCGGTATTCCGAATATATATGTAAATTAGGGGCGCATTTGCGTCCCCCCGGACATGACGATAGTACCGTAAGAGGACCATAAACACACGGATTATTGAAACACATCTTTCGCTCGCAACAAGAGCGAATAGCCGCAAGCGGAAGGCTCGAGGACAAACCGTCCGGATGATGGCCATGCACTTTGTTCCATAGCATCGCAAAACTAACATAACGCCATGCAGTCGCAAATATTCGATCACGTAGTCCGGCAGACACCACACACACACGCACGTAAGAACGCCTTCAACCGTTTTCAGCAAGGTAGGCGCGGAGAGAGGGTGGAGGCACACCAAAGAACGGCGACGTTTGTTGGGGTAGAAGCAGCATTGGCAGTTCGTCAGTTCATCAGGATACCAGCTACCTTGTACTGCTTCCTAAGGCCACACGCGCTTAAACCTACTTGCTGCTTCTTTTGGTAATCGATGTAAGGCTACAAGGCCACGACTCGCCAAAACCCCCACTCGACGGACACCCTGACGGCGCTCATTTTCGCGTTGAATGCCTCCTCTAAGGCGGTCTTCACCCCCCGGAAAGGCGCCATAAGCCACGGCGACGCCTGGTATGCAGGGTCACCGTATACGTAGCAGGGTTCTCCCAACTCGTCATTGAACGATTGCTCTATAACGTTTCAAAGTGCACTCTGTCCAAGCAACGTCACATCGTGCCTACGCCCTAACGTGGGGCCCCAAAGTTGCCTGATTATGCCGTCAGGCGAATCAACCGCCTGATATTTCAAGGCGTGCACACGCTTCCAACCATCATAATAGATACGCTGCCAACGAACAGGTCGAGCAATCTTACGGATAGTACTATCAAAAAAACCCAGCAACGCGGGAGAGGTGCCCCCTTGGCGTGAATGGCCTCACAAAATGTATCGATCTTCGGGAGAATAGCATCAACCTGCAAGTGCTCCACCAAATGCCCTCAACGCTCGTGAATCGCCTCTATCGTGAGGTTGAACACCTCGCAAATCAGCGTCTCGGACATGCCCCAGAATAATCTATCCCCGACCAAGGTGGTCGGTGTCGACGGCCCCCACAGTGTCAGGGAGAGGGCAACATCCGCTGGCACCTTCGGCACGCCATACCCTCCTCTGAAACCACGAACGAGCGGTTGTAACCGGAGGACACAATGGTGGAGGGGTAAGGCAGGCTTTAGTACTAACAGCGAGAGGTGGCTCCATGGTTTCTAATCAGACGTATAGAAAATCGGTGTGCATAAAACAACGATCACCGTAAATCACGTTCTTCAGAGGAACCGCCATCTTACTTGATGCGCTGTACATCAGCAGTTGCGCGATCCTCACTCGCTGTTGCGTACTATGAGCGCAACAGCAATAAGGTTCCCTCAAGATACAGCATGATCATGGTGGTTAGACGTAACCCTCCGCTGCCGCCGCCGAAAGGGCCATCGGATTTGGCAAGTGGAACACCTTGTTCCTGCTCGAGAGAAGCTTGCGTTGGTGCTCCATGTGTTCTATTAGATATATTGGGGGTACTCGTAGCATAGTATAACGGGATATCTTCGGTACGCACGTACGTACAGAAATTGCAGTGATGAGATGCGGAGGAATGAGAACTTTCTGGGTATTTTCCTTGGAAGTGAGAAGAGTTTGATGGAGTTTCAGAAAGATCCGTTTGGTAGTTTGAGCGTGATGAGCGTGACGCGTGCTTGATGCCGTGACAGATTCACGAGCGCGAGCACGCCCCCGAAGAATACAATACGTTTTCCCAACACGTCCCTACCCATCCACGTCCCGTCATGGGCTGCACGCTCTACACTCCCAACACAAAGAACTGAGTCACCCGAATTACCGATCACGCTAGCGTATGACACGTCGTCTGAGAGATTCGCGGTCGAGCTTGGTTTAGGAGCATCGCTTTGCGGCGATCGAGAGCAGGGTCAAGATGGACGGCGCTAGGCGCGAAGAAGAAGCCCGCCGAGCAGCGGAGAAAGCAGCGGAAGACGCCCGGATCGAAGGCCTGGTGAACGAGAGAGTAACAGCTACCCAAGCTCGGATGGAGCAGCTGATGGAGCAGAAACTGGCCGAGAAGATGGCCAAATTGGAGGTACGACAACGAGCCGAGCAGCAGAGCACAGAAGATCTCCGGAGCGGGACCGAGAAACAAGGGGCACCACACCAGCAGCAAGCTGGGAGCCCATCGCCCAACCCCTCCGCCGACGATCTGACCAACTCGATCGCGAATGCCATTGCCGGCCGCCTCCAGACCTCATCCGGCGACATCAGTGCAGTACCCCACCCTGGGACCCTCCGCATGACTGAGTCTAGACGAATTGCACCTTGAGATGGTGTATTCAAGCAAAAAGGGGACGATTTATACAGCAGAAGCTCTTGATTTTCAAGTCGAGCATGGTAGGACGTATTGCGCAAGAAGGAGGGCATGAGGTTGTAATGAGTGATGAAGACATCCCTGTAGGCAAGCATGGAGCCAATATGGCACAACTCCGAACGCAGTTTGATGAACTCAGAGTAGCCAAGGCGATAGCGGCATGGAATTTGGTGATTACATCGATCTCATACATGCCAACCCTATCAGAAATTGTCTCTGACGGGAGTCCGAGTGGGGGATGGAGGATCTTTCTAAAATATTACGAGCCTCAAGCGCGTGCAGAAAAGACGAGACTATTGAAGGAGTATCACAGCTTTAGCATGAACAGTGAAATCCCGCAAGAGCACTTCGGGAGGTTTTCTATTTTACGGAGTACATTTCCACCGGTTGTCCCGCCGATTTCAATTGACCGGCCATAACTTCATCAATAATAGTTCTTTTGTTTTCTTTTTTAGTATTGATCTCCATCACAAATGCCACAAGAGTTGTTCAGGGACCAAATCGATTAGAGACGTTCTGAGAATTCGTGGTTTTCGTATAGGTTTTTCCAGGCGTTTTTGGGAGGGAGGGGATGAAACTTTTCGTCCAATATCTCGATAACCACTATCGTAATCATGCTGGTTTTTTTTTGTTCTTGGTTGATATCGGTGGGGTTTGAGCAGGTGAACGCGATATGCGCTCTCAAAAAAAAAAAATCACTCAACAAGTAGATATACACATTTGAAGGGGGGCACAAGAGATTGTACCCCCCGTTTCTGGTCGCAAAACTTAACGTTCAACGCTTGACATTTCGTTGTTTTCGCTTCATCGTTGGGAAAACCCTGTATTTACACTCGATAACACTCCCTCGCACTACGTTTTACGATTGCCAAAATACTAGTCTTCTACATACAGCACATCGCCTGACAAAAACTACCGATAGTATCGACCGGGAGGGAAACGCAGCCGGTCGAAAAAAAAAACGGACAACAAACTTCGTGGACAACCGACACCGACAGAAGCAAAGGTTGAGGTCATTCTTTCGAACCCCATACACAACGTACCGACTCTTAGCATACGTTACTTGGGGTTAATGTATTCGGATGGAGCCGGCTTACGGTGCGACTTGCATTTCTCTTGCGCATCTACCGCCTCGGCGCCCGTAAGCCCTGCGTCGTACACCGCGTGGAAGTTGGCACTCCTTCACAACGGCGCGGAAGTACTCGACTCCTTTCTCCCAGCCTGCCTTGCACGCAGTGGCCGCCAAGGCTGCCTTCTCCAGCTGCGATCTATGCTTTGCGAGCTGGCGCAGAGCCTCTGCCCTTCGCACACCCCTGTTGCTCTGGCGCTTGAAGAATGCCGGTCACCAGACATCCTCATGTTTGTCCACTTCTACCGCCGCATCCAACATCGCGGTGGAGAGGTCCCGCACATGCATGTCAGCAAACTCCAGCTGGCCTTGCTCCACGCGCGCCTTGTATGTTGCCATCATCTCATGCAACCTCTTCCGGCCGAAACTCCCCTTCGGTCGGCCAGCCCCTGCAGGTGCAGCACGCTTTGCAGGTGGTGTGTGGCAGTGGTCGCGCCCGCAAGAAAGATTTTGCTGACAGCAGTCTCGTGGCCGTTTGGTTCTTGGAGGCGCCGGTTCGACTTTGCTCGTGTCTTTCGAGAGTGTGGTATAGCGGTCACAATGAGATGGCCGCCAGACAGCAGCGAGGGCCGCTTCGGCCGCCCAGTCACGGGCCTTCTTGTTGGACTTCGGATACTTGATGCAGTCGGTGCGCCAACGCGTGGTGACTCCGCCCAGGTCCGCTGTCACCTCCAACCGATACTGTTTGGCACCCTGCACTTGCTTTACACTGAGAAGCTCACCACCGCGTTGAGCCAAGCCTGCCCTGATGCTCTCCAGCGGCTTAGGGCGTAGCTGAAAAGACATCGGGCGTGAACCACGAAGTCTTTGGGGCAGCGCGTGAGCGCGGCCGTTGGTGTGATGTGCGACGATTTTACGATTGTTGAAAAATTGGCGGCGCATTTTTTTTTTTTGCGGTAAGCCCAAAAAGGTTCGGAAACGGAACCAATTCAACAAAATAGAACAGGAAGAGACCTTCATTATTCTGCGATTTTTTTCGGTCGGTTCGCCGTGGTTGTCGAGAAATCGTGGATTTTGTAAGGTGAAGTGTCCCCCGCAACGATGGTAATAGGCCCATAACCTGTTATTGAGAAGGAACCAACCGCTGTTTAGTGGCTTATTCGAACGCTGCTGGCTAGAGCTTTCCAACGCATATTATTTGTTTGTCGCCCAAATCGTTTGGGCTCCCTGTGGAGAACACTTTCATAAAGGATGAAACTCCCCATCGTCCGTCGAGGACGAAACCCTCTTTTCCACAATGGCGTCGACAAAGAGATGTTAGGTGTCTGCTTTTGGTTGCAAAAGACACGGGTTCAAAACCCGCTGCTCGCTCACCTAATTTTCTTCCGGAGTACGGAAAAAGAAAAACGGTGGGTGGGCCAAGAAACGAAAAACGGTGGCTCTACTCGCCGCCATCCGGTCGGGTTCCGGGTACCCCAAGAAGACTTCTCTTGCCTAGCAAACAAAAAGAAGCCTCGAAAGAGGGGGGGGTAACGTGGAGAACACCTTCATAAAGGTTGAAACTCCCCAATGTCTGTCTGTCGAGGACGAAACCAACAACATATTCGCACGATTGAGAGCGAAGTATCTGATTGAGAGCGAGATCGTGCGATACGATGTAGCTTGTCTACTGCTGAGAGAGGTAGAGCTTGCTGTGCGGCTTGAATTGAAGGGCTTGCCCATAGCTACAAGCTCATACCCGGGTCATCCTGCGGGTGTCTCGCGTTGTGGAGCTACACCGCGGAGCAGAAGCTACGGGAGGGCCTACCGCGCCAGGCGACGGCGCCCTGAAACAGTTTCGGGCAGGAATAGCCAATCTGGGGAAATGTAGTAGCAACGTGCGTTGCTCCTCGCTGCTGCAGCCGATCGAAGTGACACGCATATGCACGCGAAGCTGCTGAAGAGAGCTTCAATTTGCGCCGCTTTTTGGAAGAGCCCGTCCCCTGCTTCCCGAGAAATGACGGGAGGCGTCTGGACCCGAATTTCGATTTTTTTTGGTTCTCGCTCTCAATCGGAAACTTCGCTCTCAATCGTGCGAAAACCCTGTTGACCCTCTTTTCCACATCCCTCTTTTTTTAATTACCCCGCCCCAAAATCGGGGGACAACCGGTGGAACTGTAGGCTAGCCTCGCACGGTGCGATTTACCCAGACAATTAGGTAACGACCACCTGGTGTCTGCCCTGTCGTCTGATTACACCCTTGAGAAGAGGATGCTAGACATCATGGCAGATTTGACCCTTCAGAAGATAGAGCAGTCCGTGAAGGATGCCTACGCGGACCTGGTGCGCGTGGGGGAGGAGGAGCAAAAGAGTGGCGTGGGGCACGCTTTCGTCGCTTCGAGTGCACCCCGGGGCGAAGGAGGTGTCGCATATGGGTCGAGCGGGAACGGCGGCGGACAGGACGGCAAAGGCGACGGCCGGAGCAGGAGCAACGAGCCCAGGGGAGACAGGTGTTGTCACCTTCATCCGTGGTCAAACCACACCGACGCGGAGTGCTACCAGCAGCAACGGCAAAAGGAGTGCAGGCAGCATCATCAGCGGTAGCAACAGTCATCGATGACTGTACATGTAGTCAAATGATCAGCCTTTCTTTATCTCGTCTCTCTCTCTCCACAACAGAACACGAATCGACCCCAAAACACTACCTTCACCGCAAGTTCATCACAAAGTCACGGTGCAACGCAAACGACTCCATGCTAACAGCCTTCGTCAAGAAATCTGCATGCTGAAATTGCGTCGGCACATGAGTAATTGAAGTCTCCTTCCCCTCTACCAGCTCCCTGATAAAGTGATGCCGTACATCGATGTTTTTTGTTTGCTTGTTTGTTTCTCTCCCATCATTGGACTCTGTCGTCTGCCCCTCTGGCCCCTATCCTCCACTTCTACTAGCTAGACGACCCAACCGGGGTCACATAGGAGGGGGGGGTTGGACCCCCTCCTGCGGTTCATGCCTGAGGTATTTTTATCGCGAGAAGGGTACAGCAATCCCTTCCCTCGCGACTTACGAAGTCGATTATGGTTTACTAACAAACGAGCTTTGCAGCGCGTCGCTTTCATCCTAGACCAGGATTTATTTAGTGAGAAAAAAAATCTCTCTGTCGGGACTCGAACCTATGATTGGCCCTTAGCAGGCTGCGGGGCTACCCACTAGACCACCGGGGCGACCGGTTGACGTGCGTCGAGTTTAAGTTCGTGATCGGGTTGTTCGCAATATGAATCGATCCCTGGTTATCCTCGAACACCGGGATGCACGGCATACCCGCATCTGGCACCATAAAACGCCACACCTGCCTCAGGAACAACACTTCCTTCAAGACATCGGCAATTGCCATATACTCTGCTTCTGTGGTGGAAAGCGTAACGCACTTCTGCGTTCGTGAAAACCGAGTCACACCCCCCCACACACATCACTAGCCCCCCAGACACCGACCTCCGGTCTGCCGCCTTGCTTACATAGTCGGCATCGACAAACACCTGCATGCTCATCCCGGTCACCACTCCCCTCTCAAAGGTAATCCCCATCCAACTCGTCCTCCGTACGTACCCTACAATACGGTGTGCTGCCTTCCAGTGCACCATCTTGGGAGATGAACAATACCGCGCTACTNACATAGTCGGCATCGACAAACACCTGCATGCTCATCCCGGTCACCACTCCCCTCTCAAAGGTAATCCCCATCCAACTCGTCCTCCGTACGTACCCTACAATACGGTGTGCTGCCTTCCAGTGCACCATCTTGGGAGATGAACAATACCGCGCTACTGCTTGCACTGCGTTCGCGATGTCCGGCCTTGTTTGAGTGGCCGACCACATCATCAGAGATCCTACCAACTCGCGAAAAGGGACATCAGCGCACGCTTCGTTCTCGTCAAAGTCGGTAAGCTTCACGCTCATAGGCAAGGGCACGCTCCTCCCCCACTCAATGCCGTACTCTGCAGCAAATTCTTCGGCAAACCTCTGCTGCGAAATCCTCAACAGCCCTCTCTACGTCTCTCTCGTAAAAGCACGCGGAGTACCACCTCAACTCTCCAAGGTTCTTCACGGGGACCATCTCGTTGAGATACCTACCAAACTTGTCACACCTCTCCTTCTGCCGTACAGCAACAATGTCATTCACGTAAACCACGATGATCATGATCACGCATCCCTCGTCCATCAATTGAAAAACACATGCATCTGCCAGACACTGCAAAAACCTAAAAGTAACAAACACCTCGTCAGGTGCGCGTGCCAATGTCGTGATGCCTGCTTCAAACCATACAGACTCTTGCACAGCTTCACGACCAGGCCAGATAACCTACCACACTCCTGCGGTAAGCGCATGAAAAAGTCCTCATCAAGCTCAGACTGCACAAAAGCCTGCTGAATGTCGAAATGGCACAAGTCAAGATTCTGCTCACATGCTAATGCTGCCAACAAGCGCACACTAGACACTGATACGGTGGGTGCAAACNCCAGGCCAGATAACCTACCACACTCCTGCGGTAAGCGCATGAAAAAGTCCTCATCAAGCTCAGACTGCACAAAAGCCTGCTGAATGTCGAAATGGCACAAGTCAAGATTCTGCTCACACGCTAATGCTGCCAACAAGCGCACACTAGACACTGATACGGTGGGTGCAAACAATTCTCCAAAATCAATCGAAGCCCTCTGCATGTCCCCCCG